AGGAAATAGAAGAGAGTAACTTTACAATTTGGGAGTAGGCAAAGATTTCTTAGAATAAAGATAGTACTAACCATAAAAGAATAAACTGACAAACTGAACTTAAAATTTACAATTTCTGTTCACCAAAATATACCACCAAGAAAATGGGTGGATAGCCACACACTGGGAGAAAAGAGCCACAAAATGCATCTTTAACAGAAGACCAGAATCCAAAATATATAAAGAGATCTTACTAATCATTAACAAAAAGACAATACCCGGGGCGCCTGGGTGGTTCAGTTGGTTAAGTGTCCGACTTCAGCTCAGGTCATGATCACACGGTTCGTGGGTTCTGTGCTGACAGCTAGCTCAGAGCCTGGTGCCTGCTTCAGATTCTGTGTCTCCCTCTCTCCCTGCCCTTCCTCTGGCTTATGCTCTGTCTCTCTCTGTCTCAAAAATAAATAAGCTATAGGGGCGCCTGGGTGGCTTAGTTGGTTAAGCGTCTGACTTTCGCTTAGGTCATGATCTTGCGGTTCGTGGGTTCGAGACCCGCATCGGGTTCTGTGTTGACTGCCAGCTCAGAGCCTGGAGACTGTTTCAGTCTGTGACTCCCTCTCTCTCTGACCCTCCCCTGCTCACGCTGTCTCTCTCTCTGTCTCCTAGAAATAAATAAAAAACGTTAAAAAAATAAAAATAAAAATAAATAAATAAATAAGCTATTAAAAAATTAAAAAAAAAAAAAGACAACATCCTGGGGCACCTGGGTGGCTCAGTTGGTTAAGCGTCCAATCCTTGCTTTCAGCTTGGGTCATGATCTCACCATTGGTGAGTTCAAGCCCCGCATCAGGGTCTGTGAGGAGTCTGCTTGGGATTCTCCTCCTTTCTTTCTCTGCTCCTCCCCTGTGCTCTCTCTCTCAAAATAAATAAATCAACTTAAAAAAAAAAGGCTTAATAAAAAGATGAAAAGGCAAAACCCAACTTAAAAATGGGCAATAAATAGCACTACACGAAAGAAGGTAAAAAAGTGTCAAACAAGCAAAGATAAACTACTCCACATCGTTAGTCATAAGGGAAATGCAAACTGAAGCTACCATGAGCTGTACCTACATATCCACCAAAATGGCTAAAATTAAAAAGACTGACCACTCTAAACACTGACACGATGCAGAAGAACTGGAACTTCATACGTTTCTGGAGTATAAAATGCCAGAACCGCTTTGGAAAACTGCTTCTCAGTTTCTTAAAAAGTTAAATATATTTCTACTCAATGACCAGCAATCCCATTGCTAGGCATTTATTCTAGAGAAATAAAAACATATGTCTGCAAAAAGTCTTGTGCAAGAAAGTCCAGGGCAGCTTTGTCCATAATAGCCCCAAACTGGAGACAACCCAAATGTCCATCATCTGGCAAATGGATAAGTTGTGATTTATTCAGACAATAAAATAATAAGTCAGCAATTTAAGCAACAAACTATTGATATGCTCCAATTAGCATGAATGAATTTAAAAGATGTTAATGCTAAGTGAAAGAAGCCAGATACAAAAGAATACATAATTTCATTTACTCGAATAGGTAAAACTATCTTTAGGGTGGGGGTGAGGTGGAAGAGGGAGTAACTGAGAAGAGGCACAGGGGAACTTTCTGGGATTTTGGAAATGTTTTCTAGGTGTGTGTGTTACATAAGGTTTATGCATTTGTCAACTCAATGAGCTGTACACTTCTCTGGATTTCACCCTATGTAAATTATGCCTCATCAAAAGGAAAAAATAAAACAAAAAAATGATCTCTAATAGAAATACCTGAAATCAACATGCTTTATGACTAGACCGAAGGAAATCTGTTATTCCAAGGCAAACACACACACACACCTTAAAAAACTTTTAAATATTTCTTTATTTTTGAGAGAGAGAGAGACAGACAGACAGACAGGGTGTGAGTGGGGAAGGGGCAGAGAGAGAGGGAGACACAGAATCCGAAGCAGGATCCAGGCTCTGAGCTGTCGGCACAGAGTCAGATGTGGGGCTTGAACCACAGAACAGTGAGATCATGACCTGGGCCCAAGTCGGGCACTTACCTGACACCTGACTAAGCCACCCAGGTGCCCCAGAAAACACATACACAACTTTCACAAGGTAAAAAAACAGGGGCACCTGGATGGCTCAGTTGGTTGAGCGACTCTTGATTTGGGCTCAGCATCATGATCTCAGTCTGTGGGTTTGAGCCCAGTGACAGGCTGGATGTGACCTACTGGCTCTGCCTCTGGCCGAGAGCAGGGAGCCTGCTTGGGATTCTGTCTTCCTCTCTCTGCCCCTCCCCCAAGCACTCCTGCGCTCAAAAATAAACAAAAAATAAATAAAAGACAAAAACAAGTGGAAAAACGGGGCAGACTAAAACATCACTCAGACCACAAACCAACCATGGAATTTTATGTAAATCACCTAAGCTCTCTTGGCCTGTTTTCTCATCTATAAAATGGGAGAAAGAAAATCTACCTCACCAAGGATATGTAAACATTAAGGTTATGCAAAGCATCTAGTACAGTACCTGGCACACAGAGCCTTAGTAAACGGTACTGGTAGGAACAATGCAACTAAAAACTGCATTAAAAAGATCCACTTTACCGATCTGGTGTGACAGAGTTCCACTGAATTTTTATTTGAACATCTATGCATAGCCCTATCCTTTTTTCATGACAACTCTCCTCCCGTCTGATAACTGACCCTATTCCATCCAGATGACCAGAGGGGTGGGAAGGGCAGGGGAGGGAAGGAGTGATCCTGTTCCCTCAACTTCAAAAAATGTTCATGTAAGTCAAAGTCACTAACCAAATTACATTGAAAGGTATGAGGGAAACTCACTATTTAAAAAAAAAAAGTCTAGGGGCGCCTAGGTGGCTCAGTTGGTTGAGTGGCCCACTTCGGCTCAGGTCATGATCTCGCGGTTCGTGGGTTCGAGCCCCGCATTGAGCTCTGTGCTGACAGCTCAAAGCCTGGAGCCTGTTTTGGATTCTGGGTCTCCCTCTCTCTCTTCCCTTCCCCTGCTCACACTCTGTCTCTCTCTCAAAAATAAACACCTAAAAACTTTTTTAATTAAAAAAAATAAAAAATAGAAAAGTTTTTTTAGAAGTCTAAAGCTGTTTTATGAAATGCAGACGACTTTTTATGAAGATTACCAGTACTAAAGTCAGGTCTCTCGTTTATTAGGTTTACCATTCTTACATCTGCTAGAAAGCTTTCTAATTATCTTTCAAAAGGCCATGCCGTTTCCAAACGCCGAAACACGCACAGCAATAGCTACTTTCCATAAAGTGCATGTTCAAACAGTAGACAAAGCATGCAAAGTACTCTCCTTTTATCACACCAATACTGTCTAGTTGGATTACAGCCAATAACAGGGCTCAAGTAGATTTATCTTTCCTGTAGATCATGTAATACATTTGCCTAATGCAGTGCCCTAGATTTTACAAATTACATTTACTGATGTACTTGCAAGTCTGCAGATTTGAACATTTTCAAGGAGCACACAAGGCATATATTATATAAAACAGTCTGTCTTGGTCATCAATAAAAGCCCCGTTCTGAGGCCACCTACTATCCTTTTGCTGGAATTTAAAATTTCTGTAAAGCATTTCTTGGCTTTTAGCAAAGTCAGGGTTGGGCCAAGACGCTGATGTTCTCTCTGCATTCAGAGGGCACAAAAAGAATCCACACATACGGAAGATCTATTTGAAAGCTTTTAAGGCCAAAAATGTCTATTGTGCGGCCTGTGATAGGCACTAAAGGAAACTTGAAAACTATAAATAGGACAGAGAACACCATATGCCTGGGAGGTAAATATTTTGCTTAAAATGGCACAAGGACACAATTCGACATGATGTCCGTCTTATGTCAAAAACAAAGTGAATATGAACCCACAAAAGAGACCCTCTGATGATTTGGAAGAACTTATTCTCACGAAAAAGTCCAATATGCCATCTTAGTACCATCTTCAAGGGATTTCCCCATGATGCAGCGGTATTCCCTGCAAAGTGGCTCGGGTCTAAACTCTCCAACGTGATGTCACAAAACCCGAAATGCAGTGGAATCCGAGTCCGTGTTGGTGCCGCCCAGGGCTGCCAACAATCAACCCGGAGGCCCGGGGCCAGAAAGACTCCCATCAGGTTTCCTCACCGCTCCCTGACAATCAGCGCTCCCCATACAAACGAGGTCTTAAGAGCTCCAACCAAAAAAAAAAAAAAAAATTAAAATTAAGAGAAGATTCGTCTGCGGTGTCTGCTAAGAAAGGTACAGGGATCACCTGCCAACGGGCAGGAAAGTAAGTGGGTGTAACATGGCTTCCCCGGGCACACTGAAGCTGAAAGGCAGCAAATCCTGGCAAACCCTTGCTAGAGTGAGGGCTCCACACCAAACGTGTGGAGGGACGCGCTCTCGGAGCGTGCCACCACCCCCAGCCATTCCGCCTCGGGGCGCGAACGAGCGCTGACCCCCGGACAGCACACCCGAGGCCAGGACGCGGGCAGGGAGAACCGGCGAGCCCGGGCTGCCAGCGCGCCCACAGGGGTGGCAGAATGTGCCGTCACCCCACGACCCCGTCGCGGCGCGTCAAAACACAAAGCCCAACGGGTGGTGAGGAGAAACGAATGGAAGACACGTGGTCCGCAGATCCGATCGAGCTCTCCGGCCACCAAGTGCGCTTTTCCCGGAAGCGGGGGACCCCGCCGCAGCCCGCACCGCCCCCCGACTCCGGGCCCCGGGCTGACCCCCCCCCGCCCCCCGCCACAGGTTGGCTGAGCCGGGGATCGCGGACAGGCTCGCGCGCAGAATTAAGTTTCTAATAATACAACTTGAGGCGGATCAGCGCCTGCGTAGCCCCGCGCCGGGGCCGCACTAGGGGGCGTGCAGGGCGCCGCGGGCGCGCGGGCCTGGGTCCCCGAGTCCAGTGCCCCGCGGGGGGTGGGGGCGCTCGCGGCGCCGGCGCCCCCGCCCCGGCAGGTGCGCCCCCCGCGTGTCGCCTCGCTCACCAGGTACCAGACGCCCAGCAGGATGGTGCCGGTGCGGACATGGCAGCACAGGCAGCAGCTGTTGGAGTAGAACCGCGTCCAGGGCGCGACCATCTTCATCGCTCGGGCCGCCGGCGCCGTGGCGCGCGCCCAAGTTTGCAGGAGCTTCGGCCGCGTCGCTCAGGGCCCGCCGCGGGGCTGCTGCCGGGTCCCCCGCCGCTGCCGCTGCCGCCGCCGCTGCCGCTGCCGCCGCCGCCGCCGCCGCCGCCTGCCCGGCTCCGCCGCTCGCCCGGGGCCCGCGCTCCGCGCCTCTGCCGAGAGTTCCGAGAGGCTGCTGCGGCGGCCGGACCCTGCGCTCGGAAGGCTGCGGGAGGAGGAGGAGGAGGAGCGGGAGGAGCGGGAGGAGCGGGAGGAGCGGGAGGGGGCGGGGCGGGCCACGTGACCCGCGCTCCGGCTCGTGATGTCACCGCTGGCTCCAGCCGGCTGCGGGCGCCGCGGGCCGGGGGCAAATAAATCAATCACCCTGCTCCCTGGGCCGGTCCCGGAGCTGGCCCGCGGTGCAGTTCCGGGCCTCTCCTCTCTCATGTGGTCGTTTGTGTAACTCTCTCGCGGGTTTGAGATTTTTTTTTTCTTTTTACAAATAGTTTATTGTCAAATTCGTATCCACATAACACCCAGTGCTCATCCCCAGGGTTTGAGATTCTTTCACAGCCTGGTTGGTTGTGGTTTCTCCCCTTCCACTTCTTTTTGGCAGATAATCTGCAGATGCAAATGCTGACGCTGTTATCTTGCAATCTGGAAAGGGGGAAAACTGCAGGGTGTGATTCCGGTCAGCAGCAGTACGGTCAGCAGCAGTACTTTGAACCGCTGCTGGAGTCGCCAGGAGCAATTTGTCTCCTCTTCCCAGCTCAATTACAGTGGTAGTAACCTTTTCCCAGAAAATAGAATGTGTGTCAAGGACATCCTCGCTGGGCTTCAGTAGCATTTTTAATCATGACTGCAGCTCTAAAGAAACCATCATCAAGCCAATTACTGCCAGAAGGGCTCTGAAGGACGCAACATAGAGCGTTAAGAGGTACTGAAAGATAGGGCTCCAGTTTGGGGTTATTTCCTCCCATCTGTTGTTTTTTGTCTCAAAGTGCCCTGTCCTAGGTTAGCCTCTAATCACCGTCTAAGCCAAGCATCTCAGAGGAGTGAGATCATTAGCGCCTGTCAACGTTTCATTTCAAACTTAGAGGAAAACTGGTTGGATTTACATTTCTTAAGGACAGGTTATATGGGAAGGAAGGAAAATGTTAGATGAGGCTCTTTAAGCGCAGGACTAGTTTTACAAGGCTGTAGAGCTGTCACATTCTTAGTGTGTAACTTAAACCTGGATCCAGAGGGACTGGTGTGGGCCCTTAACTGGAAATTATAAGTAACATCATTGAGGGAGATAATCAGAAGTAAGGAAGAAAGAAGATCAGCTTTTGTTTTGTTTTCTCACTACAAAGTTCTGTTTTCTCTCACATAAGACATAATTTTCTCTCTGGGGTCTTCCACTTAATATGTAATTATAGGGGCATGTGGGTGGCTCAGTTGGTTAAGCATTCCACTTTGGCTCGGGTCATGATCTTGCGGTTCATGAGTTCAAGCCCTACATCTGGCTCTGTGCTGGCGCTTCGGATCTAGGAGCCTGCTTCAGATTCTGTGTGTATCTCTCTCTCTGTTCCTCCCTCGCTCGCATTCTGTCTCTCTCTCTCAAAAATAAAGATTAAAAAAAATTTTAATGTGTAATTATACCCATAGCCATTTTTAAATCTTATTTTAACTTTTTTTTTTTTTTTTTTTTTACTTTAGAGAGAGAGTGTGTGAGCAGAGGAGAGGAGCGGAGGGAGAGAGAGAACCCTAAGCCAGTTCCACGATCAGCATGAAGACTAACACAGGGCTTGATCCCATGTTATCAAGAGTCCACACTCAACTGACTGAACCACCCAGGTACCCCGAATTATACCCATAGCCTCTCTTAAACTTCTGTGGAACAAGCAGGAATGCTCTGAACAGGAATGGAAATGGTGAATCAGGACAGGGAGTGCTACTTGCCAAACGCCAACTGCCAGCATATTCCTAGAGTTACCTCCAGCTTCGCCCTCCCCACCCCCAACCAGGATTTCAGATTCATTAGGTAAATGATTCGTTGATTAAGGGGAATTTTCTATTTCACAGAGCTTGTTATTCAAGATCTGAGTTTACAGACAGTTGCCAAACTGCTCTAGATAAGAAGAGAGACAGAGAATAGAAAAAACCTGGCTGGTGGAAGGAGATAAGGAGAGAAACAATACATCCCCAAGCAAAGTTTAGGAAATAAAACTTGGAAGTGTATTTATTTGGATGCAATATTGGGGGGATTGGCAAAAACAAACAAAACCAAGAAAAAAAAAACCCCAAAACCCCAAGGCTTCCCAAGGAACTTCGTCACAGCTGGGTTACATTCTCACACAGCAGCGTATGTAACTGGAATACTGATTGCAGGGGTACAGTTATTTAGACAGGTCACCTTGTTTTCATCCCTCGGCACCTCAGCTTCTGGGGTCACGCTTCCTCTGTTTTCTGCAAGAGCAACGGACAACAGCCTCCATAACCTCGGTCAGGTTGAGCTGCAGGTCACTCACCCCTCCTCTCCCATTCTTCCCTGTCTCCATGGTACTTTCAGCACTGAGACACGGAAACTGAAAGGTCTCCATTTTAGAAAGCCTCCATTTCTGATATTTCTCAGCAAGGCTCCATTCACTCATGCTCCGTATTTCACCTTGCATCCGAGTAAACCAAAGAACCCGTGTTCCCACTCCACAGGGGAAGCAAGAAAGTTAATCATTCTCTGAGTTTCATCCAAGGCCCCTAAACACCTGATAACATCTCAAAAGAACCGAATCCCAAACTGATTCCAGGACATTCAATTCAAACAAACCTCCATCAACAGCACTGATATCAGTACCCCCCACCTTCAGTGATTTATGGAATAACATCTATCATTCACCTGACACTTGCCTTTGATAGGACCAAATCTTGGGTCCCTGAAGGAACACAGACCCTGGACCCCTTTCCCATATAAACTGCTAACGCCCAGTGACGGGGAGGCCCACGTCTCCTTTTCTGAGTCTCCCAGACGCTCCATCTACTACACTCTCTCACTTACACTATTCAATAAACTGCTCTCACTTCCTTCTGGCTCACGTTTGATTTCCGTCCTTGGTGATGCCAAGAACCCTCTGGGTCCTCGGACTGAGCCAGCCTACATCATGACCAAATTTTATTTATTTATATTTTTAAGTTTATTTATTTATTTGGAGAGAGAGAGACAGCATGAATGGGGTGGGGAGGCAGAGAGAGAGGGAGAGAGAGAGAATCCCAAGCAGGCCCCACGGTGTCAGCACAGAGCTCCAGGCAGGGCTCGAACCCACAAACAATGAGATCATGACCTGAGCAGGAAACCAAGGGTTGAACGCGTAACCAACTGAGCCACCCAGACACTCCCATCATTACCAAATTTTAAAGCCTTACCATTAGGACTTGAGAACTTGCAACCTCTTTGTCACCAGGTCCCTTCCCTTGCCTTCTTGTACTCCCCAATTTCTCTCCCTATATCCTCCCCTGGCCCCCTTCTTCCAAGGGCAGCTATATTCCAATGAACTGACAGAATTTTTTTCTTTTCATCACATACAGCCACTCTGGTTCCTTTTTCCAATCTCTTCTTCCCTGGGACTAATTGCATTTCAGTCTCTCTGCTAGTGATCCAGAATGCCCAGGGTTAATTTGAGTGATGACCATGTGTAAGAAGTAAAGACATAAAGGCTGAAAGATGAGAACATTCTGCACCTGATCCCTGATTCCATTCTGCACCTGCATCTGCACCATGTAGTCTACAGCACAGGTCGCCATGGGGTTCGTCAGAATGTGTGCCAACTATCCCTACAGATAAAAACAATGCAATGGGAAAGCAGAGAGGGATCAATTACATGAAAACTGTGGGGAGTTAGCATTTCAACTGGGCTTTGAGGGGTGAATAGAACATAGATCAGAGGCATAGAGATAGGGGATGAAAGAACACTTGATCCAGGACTTGCATAGGGCCAGACACTCTTTGGAGGTAGGGAAAGTCTCCCTGGAGCAACTTCTATGACCTGGGCCAGGGTCTGTCCCGGGAGACAGAACCCTCTCAAAGGCTAAAAAATTCAAAGGGCTACTACCATGTAGCTCTCCTGAAAAGGAGAAAGGGGGGGCAGTGCCTTCCCTGGATGAGTTGGGAAAGGAATCCATGTGCCTATGGCACAGGGCAATCTTGAATGTCTTCCTCAGTGATGTAAGTACTACTCAGTCCTTGGTGGTTGAAAGGAAAACCTTGTAGGTCTCCTCATGCACTCTCCAGATAAACCAGGGATCTGTTCATTCGCGCAGTCATGAATCTGGTGAATGGGAACTTACCAACTGACAGCGTGGCTGTCAGCTCAGAGAACGTGAGACAGTTTTTACCTAAAGGGAACTCACAGCTTAAAGAGGGAAATGGAGAAATAAACGGAAAATAACATAAAAGCAAGATAAATGCTACAATACGTTTAGCACAGGGTGTTATGGGAGCCCCCCAGCTCAGTTTCAGGGAGATCGGGCAAGTGACATCTAGGCTCAGAGCTGTGGAGTAAGTTGGTATTGGCCAGGCGAGAGACAGAGGGCAGCCTCAGACAGGATGGGAGCAGGACATGCAAGGCCCAGCATCTGGTGAGCTCACAAGTTTAGAATCAGCAAGTAATGGGGCGCCTGGGTGGCTCAGTCAGTTAAGTGTCTGACTTCGGCTCAGGTCATGATCTCACGGTTCGTGGGTTCGAGCCCTGCATCGGGCTCTCTGCTGACAGCTAGCTCAGAGCCTGGAGTCTGTTTCAGATTCTGTATCTCCCTCTCTCTCTGACTCTCCCCTGCTCATGCTGTCTGTCTCTCTCTCTCTCTCTGAAATAAATAAAACATTAAAAATTTAAAAAAAAATAGAAACAGCAAGTACCATGAGAGCCAGAAGTTTACATTTGAAGGGAAGGAGGTCAGAGTAGAGAAGATGGGGCTAAGGAAGTTTTAGGGGTGTCAGTATAGGCGGGGAGCTTTTCATGCCATGCCACACTGAGAGGTTTGGAACAAATCTCCTAAGGAAAGTGGGGAGTTTCTGAACTACTGAGAGTTTCATAGATATT